TAATTATATTTTAGATTTTTTATATTTAAAATAAGATGTTTGTCATGTATTTTATTATATTTATCCACAGTTAGTTACATAAATTTAAACATGAAGCTCTAATAAGTTGTACATATGCATAATTTACTTTTAATCTTAAATTTTAAATAATATGTATCAATAAACAATACTTTATATATAAAAAATGGTTTTTAAGAATTTTTATCAAATGCTTTATAATATAGATAGATATATGATAAGCATATAAATAATGAAAAACCTCGGGCATATTTTCATTGTTTTTCTAATCTTTTTTAGTTAAGAGTTTTTAACTTTACTCAATCTAACCAAATAATAATAAAATATTAATACAAAGTTGCCCTCTTAAAATATACAAAATAATTATAACAGTGAAATAGGGTTGTCTAATAATGGTGTCATGTGGCATTTTGAGATGTAATTACCGATTATTTTATTTAAAAGCTTTTATATTTTCCAATTGTTCATCTCACATGTATATGTCATAATAATGCGATATGGAATAAATAGAAAAAATATGAAATTTAATTTAATTAAAATATAATTAAAGTGAGAGAAGGAAGGAAGGCAAGATTGAATAAATAAATATTATGTTGAAAAGGGTAAATGTTGACTCCGTCGACAATGCCGACCAAGTCCGTCCAAAACAATGCCACGTGGGAATCCGCCACCATCTACGGCCCTTGCCGGCAGCCGCTAATGTCAAACAAGTCTTCATCCATGAATTAAAAACACACAATCAAATATTTAATAATAACAATAATACTATAGTAGTAAAAAACATTGGACTTAAATGTAATGATGGTATCATTATTATTTATTTTCTTTTATGATTATTTTAAAATCGAAACCGGGATATTGCCTATTATATAATTAAAACTTAAAATATTATTATTATTATATAATAAAGGTCACACATAAGTTTGTTGGACAGACAATGACCCTCCTACAATTAGAATTATTTTGAAATGACGTTTTATTTTAAACACCACACCATGAGTGGATTTTCACCCTACCATTTATTATTTTCTACGTAATTAATAATTACAAATATAATTTTATAATTTAAACCGTAAGATGAATCGAATACAAAACTTTGTATTTTAATTGAGTACAAAATGTTTAAATCTCTTCTTACGCTTTTCATTTTAACTTTTCTTGATCCTATCTATCTATATATATATTATAAGCATTTAAACAAGAGAGAGTGAGAGGGCTATATAAGGGTGGGGGTGTGAAGAGGACTGTAGAAAGAAACCATTGCTTCCTTTCTTCTCATCTTCTTCCCCATTAATTAATCAATTAGAGATGGGGAATTGTCAAGCTGTAGATGCAGCTGCACTTGTTATACAACATCCATCAGGGAAGATAGAAAGGATGTATTGGTCTGTAACTGCTACTCAAATCATGAAGATGAATCCAGGCCATTATGTTTCCCTCATTATCCCATTGCCAGCAGACGATAACTCCGACAACAAAACCGTTCGCTTTACCCGAGTCAAGCTTCTCCGCCCTACCGACACCCTTGTTCTTGGCCGAGCTTATCGACTCGTTACCTCACATGGTAATTGTCCTACTTTCGTTTCTTGTTAAGTTGTTCCTAACTTTTGGATCTTTTTCTATAACTTATAGAGGTTGAATTTGGTTATGCAGAAGTTATGAAGGTACTGAGAGCAAAAAGACAAGCAAAGATGAAGAAGGATCGGCCGGAATCAATGGAGGAAAACCAAGAAACAAGTTCGGAATCGGAGAACTCAAGCCAGGTGAATAATCTTCATCTAGTTAGCAGTTTTTGGCAAAGTAATTTGGTCATAAAAAGGCAAAGATGAAGATTATGTGTACCTTACAGTATCATTATTATTCTGAAATTTTCAGGTGATGGCACATGAAAGAACAATCAAGCAAAGGTCTGGATCGTTTTCGAGATCAAAATCATGGCGGCCATCATTGCAGAGTATCTCCGAGGCTGCTAGCTGATAGTTGAGGGCTTCAAGAAGCTCGATTTCGTTCAGAAACCATTCTATGGCTCCCTGTTCCGATCAAATAATACATCTGTATAGCTTTAAAAAAAGGACGAGCAACGACACTAACCCGCAATATGCGGCAAATATGTATTAATTTTGAAGAAATATATATTAGTGTGGAGTTCAAAGTTGCCTCCTTTTTGTGTTTTATGTAAAGAAATTTTTTTGAGTACTAGCTAAGCAGGTAAATAAAGGCTAGGCCTTGGGGCCGATGGGGATTTTCTTGGCTGTTATCTGTAGAGCCTCACGGGATTAGTTAAGGTGTACACAACCTGGCCGGTACACCCTCAGTTACCAAAAAAGGGTAAAGAAAAGGGTTTCTATGAGTGTTAGTGTGATTTGGAGTTCCAAATTTCCCACTCGTGATCGAGGTAATTTTGAGCCCATAATAGCGATGCACGTGCTGCCAAGTTTGCTCCCGGAAGTTTCCTTTGCTTGAGTTCGATTAACATGTCCGTGAATGGCTCCACCAATAACGTCCCTGGTCCTCCATACTCTTTGAAAAGAAACTCGCTGAATAGCTTGTTTCACCAAGAAAGAAAACGTATCAAGGGCAGTTCGGTCTTTTTACAACAGGTGCTACAACTCGCAAAGCAAATATTAACTACCAACATAATGGAAAAGGTCAAGTTATCGCGCTATCGGTTCAGGAACACAAATTCTAGATAATATGACACTATAGTTGCTAACATTAGTTAAGAGGGTGTATACAAATACAACTTCATACAAGCTGTCATGGAAACATTGATTGCTTATTTTGTTGTGAGGGCTAGAAATGTCATTTCACTGATGCACAACCACGTGAAGGACAAATCAGATGCTTTTAACTCAAGGAGAAAGGTGCTTGAGTGTTCCACAGCATTGAATAAAAGACATTTAAGGACATCAAGCATGTAGGGGAAGAACATAAAAATGTGAACTAAATGAGAGAGATCAAAAAGCTAAACATGTTTAAGGCCAAAATACATCAAAAGATAACGAAGTTTACCTCAGTTCCTATCTAGTGTAACGATGACTCTTTTCCTAAAATAATATAACAAACGTTCAATTTTCCATATTTCCTGCACATTTGACTTGTAATCAGTATATCTACTAATTATTGACAATGTGGATGCCAAGCTTTCAAGTTATATTGTAATTCTTGATTACGTGGAAAAATGCACATTAAAAATAATTGAAGCCAAATATCCAGCAAATAGGAAAAAACTGAACGTGTGTTACACTAATTTACAAACAGATCATCTACCATTACACTATAGAGGAACTAATGCAACCTTTTTCAAATATCATTCCCCGCCTGTGTCAAGAAAACCCGAGGAGGGTGATGCATGAATTACGATGATCAAAGAAAAAGAAAGAAAACTACAAAGCTATCAACTTTTCAAGGGTATCTATTCAAGCAATAAAATACAAGTAATATCACCAGGTTGCTTTAAGGCTGAAAGTTGTGTAATTGGTGCTTCCAAATGGCATTATCCAAGAATTAACATCAAGTTCACTAAGGGACAGATGACCTCATGACTTAATACTTGTTTCAGTTATCGTTTACCAAGTGATGTTTATTACAACTTTACAATATCTTACTATTAACAAAGTCTCTAGAGAAATATGCCAGACTTCGCTCTCAACTCAAATTATCGGTAGTCAACCTTGAGGGTCAGCGCAACTGATAAATAGATGTTAGGTAGGTTTTGAGGCTCCTCTCAAATCCTAATAGGTCTCTGGTTCGAGTCTGCCATTGGGTTTTTCATTATTATTATTTTCAAGGCTCCATGGGATTAGTCAACATGGATGCATGGAGTCACGGACACCCACAGTTACCAGAAAGGAGCAGGCCAACCAGTGACCTCTAAATTAACTAGAACCATCATAGACAACTGTTATTTATTCAGTGGGTACCAAGTGTTAAATAGATCGTAATTCTATAATGTTCAGGCTTTGCTACTTTGGCATAGATGCAACAAGTGAAAGCGCGAACTGATTACATATGGCAAACAGGGAAGCCTTGTTAGTTTGGACATACTATCAAACAGGTTGTGAGCATTGATAGAAAACCCCAGTTCACAATGTAACTAAATCGACCAACCATCGAAAGCATCCACCAAAATTTTGTAAGTTAATCATCAATCAATTTTCAAGAACCTTATCCACATGAACTAGAATCAAAGCCAAAATAATTGGTCCACATTTTAAGCATCGCGAGAACAAGAAAAGACTTAAAGAAAGCAAATGATTCAATCATCCAATAAAATACAAGAAATGAAAAGGAAATTAAGAGTTACCTCGGTACAGGTGTCAAGAACTCTATCAAGATCAGCCCCAAATGTCTCCCTTTCCTTGTACAGTTTCTTCTTGAGCTCTTCCCGAAACTTCTTTGTCTCCTATCACCTCGCACAAAGAAAAACAGAGGTTACTGTGTGTTTTGTATTTGTAACATGTATGCACTAGATCATATATAAAGAGATTACGTAAGCAGCAAATTCTGGAATCGGGTCAGGATACACGTATTTCTGAAGTGGGGTAGCTCTAAGAAGGAAGAAACATGGAGTTTTTGAAAGAGAAGGACGAAAAAAGCAGCCGGAGGAGGGTAGGGAAGCGAATTTTGCGGTCTTCTTTTTCGTGGGAGCCATGGAAGCCAGCAATCTGGTGGAGCAAAGAGAGACGATGGGAGTGTAAAAAACCGCCATTTTTGTTGTCGAGGAAATCCTACCTTTCTTTTTTAATTGTTTGGGTGCTCCTTAAATTTGAGGGAAAATTAAGTGTAAAAATATATTTTCTATTTATAACAACCTGTTGACATTTGTCAAAGAAGAACCCTTGATCAACACGAGCATTAAATTAATAATTCCATCACAATTTATTTGAAACCACACCATTAACATAACGCCACTTCTACATGGAGTCAAAATGAGGTATGTCCCCAACGCAAATGATAAAGCATCTCGAAGTTTATATGTTAGTATAAAAACTCAATAAAAAAATTGAATACATGACCTCACATATAAAAAAAACAATGAACTGGCTAACAGACCAATGATGATTTTGTAAAAAATATCCCTATATTTGTTTTTTATAGTCAAATGATTCTACCGTTTTTTAAAAATTTGGGTTCATCCGTCATCAAAGTCCCTTCCTACATTTTTTTGGTTAGACACCAACCCACTTACCTAATGCATGGTAGTGAGCATAGTGTTCATTTTTTGTATCTTTTAGTCGGTCCTTTGTTAATATAACTTTTACTAAAGATGACCTACCAACTCGACATATAGTGCTAAGATAAACATAACAACAAAGTCGGTGAAGATTAAGGAGTCGTTTATTAAACACTTACAGGGTAAAGGCTTAATGCGTAACTTACCTTACAGGGTGAGCATTACAAGGACGGTAATCTTACTCGGTAAGAGGCAAAACAAGGATCAAGAGCCTTACCGGGTGATAGACATTTATCAACAATCTATTTTGATGGCCAAAAATGGAACCCGATAAAGTACGTGAGGACTGTGACTCTTGACAATAAGCGCTTGGAAACTTATTATTTTTGTTATGTATATAATTTTATCAAACATATTTATTCAAGAAATTATGTGTGGGATTGTTGCTCCATAAAGAACATCTCCATCATCACCAAAATCATATTTTTACATTAATTTTCATACAATTTCAATTTTCACTACAATTCTACACCAACTGATGTTGGTGAAATGCACAACAAAAAATTTGATATTTGATGTTAATGAAGTTTGATCTCTATATAGTTCTAGTTTATTTTACAAATGCTATTTTAGTTATACTATTTGTTAATATTATATTATAAATTATATTAGTTTATATATATGATATATGTGTATAAATAAATAAAACATAGAAAGTGACATATATATATATATATATATATATATATTATGATCAAGGAAAATAAAAAAAGAAAAACATAACTGAAAAGGAAATTTGATTTAATTGTATGTATATTGTTTTGTTCAAATGTGTTATAAAATTATTATAATAGAATATGCGTCGAATTTGTATCAACTAATAAAAATAAGGATATTATTAAAAAGGTACATAAGTTAAGAATATGAAATATATTTTTAATATTTATTTGGTGCAAAAAAAAAAACCCAATGTAATGCGTCATTGAAATTGAATTACTACAGTTTACACAAAGTTTTATATCATTTTATTGGAAGAAATTTTACACATGATTGAATATGGATTAAAACAATTTGAACATTGTTATAAACCCTAAAATATTTTATGTTTTTTTTTTTTCTGGTTGGGGGCATGTTTTAACGTTTTCGCCTCGGGCATCAAGTAATGTGTCGGTGGACGTGACCGGGATGATGACCTCGCCCCCCTGTTCTTGTTCGACCCATCGTCATCATCCACGTCCATATTATCACCACCTTCGAAATCGTATACATTGTGCCCGTCAAGAATTCCTGGCATGTTATCTTCTTTCCATTCATCGTTCTCAAGAAGATAGTGTTTCTTTAATCTAGCGGAGTATACATCCGCACCTCCGTTTTCCCTCTTCGAGATCCTTTCGATTCCAGAACAACCTGTGATATGCAAGGCGGTTGTTCTTTTGTTTGGAACAGCAACCCATGAAACCTATTAAGACATTAATTCGTTTATCTTTTTCGACTTCATTTTAATTTCAACCCGCCGATCCATTAACCCGTTCACAAGCAGCGGCAATCACACCCTCTTCAGTCAAAGTGCTCATCGTCAAAACCACTTCAATTCTACACCATCTCTCGACTCGCCATCCTGACCAACCAAAGTCTTCATTTCTTCTGATTTCATCTCCGCAACCAACTTCTTGTCGTCCTCGGATATTCCGTCTACCAACTGAAAATCCATCTTGTTCAATAATTACTTAACGAAGTTAAATCAATATAGTAATTTAAACATACAAAGAAACAACGTATTAGAACAGAACAGAACAAAAAGATAATCAAATATTCAAATTGGTAACAGAAACAAAAATTTCATTGAATTCAACAATAGTTAAAAACAACAACAATAAAAGAAGTGAATATGAGATGGAAGGAGGTTTACAACCCTATCTATGGTTATAAAAAATAACGAGTCAAACCACAAGGGTGGTGTCTGATTAGTTTGAGCTTGAGTTTTAAAGGTCAAAAGTACTTGAAGGTCCTAGTTCAAATCCAAGAAGGAATAAAAATCCCTTTTGTGGCCACGGAGGTTCAAATACGGTGACTCTGGGGTACCCGTAAAGCAGGTGGTCGTCCTGGGATTAGTTGGCTCGCATAGCGAGTTTGGATATCCAGGTTAATAAAAAAAATGAACGAGTCTTCGTTTTGATGTGAGATTCCACATTAGTTGGGAGGCGAACACATATTATCTTATAAGAAATTGGATATTGTCCCCATCAGACGTGTTTTAATAACGTAAGTCTAATTATATTGGACGAATATGTTACATATAACTTAATAATTATTTTAGTTATTTTTTATTTTTAATGAGTAAATTATGTTTTCGCCCATGTCCGTTTGTTGAGAATTGTAATTTTCGTCTATGTTTTCGAAATTACGATTTTTATCTTTATTGTTTACATTTCATTATTGTTTTCTTTTTTATGATTTACTAAAGGTAGGAATGAATTGCGAACCATAGAGACGTAAATCGCAATTCAAGTCCACATAGACCAAAAATGTAATTTAAGAGTTGTTTGTTTACCTCTTTATAGTTTCATTAAGAGTCGGCATCTGAATCGTTAAAAGGTGAATTTCGTTTGACAAAAAAAAAATTTACCTCTTTAATGGTTCTAAAATCCCCTGATTGATTTTGTATCATGGGTATCTCTTAACCATTCAATGCCCTAATTTCATTGTAAACAATTATTAAATATTATATTTTGTTTTGCACTATATCATGAGAGCCTCTTAATCATTCTAATCACTTAATCATTTTGTACCAAACCATTTAACAACTGCCAAACAGCCCCTTAATCTTTTTAATGTATCAATAACCTTTTAATCAGATCATCTAACATAAAATATAATCACAGTTGAAATAATTTAGTTTAGAGTTTAAAGAATCTGTAATGAAGTTTTTTTAAAGCTTTTTTACCGCATAAAAATTATAAAATAGCAAACAGTTCTCTTAGATAAAAAACACACTTCTTTCCATATGTAGCGACACAAACCCTCGATAAATCTAAGTTCATGGGTCCCATTTTTTATGTTACAAAACTCAAATAAAAACCTTAAAGTAAAGCACAGGCCTTATTATTTTTATATAATTTCAACATATTCATGTAGTTGTATTTTTATAACGAGTTGCGTCCTTAATACATAGAAACCCAGGTCGTTGATTTATTTTATGGACCAAACCCACTAAAAGACTGCAACCATAGGAACCCAACTTATTAAAAAAAATACAATCCCCTTGATGGCTTGATGTAACTCGTTAAAAACACAACCACAAGGGCGCGTTACATAATTTTCAAAAAAAAAAGGACAAAGATCATTAAAACCCCTAACCACAAGGACGAAACATGTAATTTACTCAAAAAATTGTCTATGTTCTTATAACAATATAGCTCAAAACTTGGTTTGATTTTAATGTATTTCATGCTATTCAAACTCCTTGTATATAAATATTGACTATACTTTTACCAAAATGAGTTCATTTTTGGAAAAAAATCTGAAAAACGAATTGGGTGCCCATTCTCAAAGTATCACCCTCTCTAAGCATCATTACCCAAAAGCAACACACAAAAAGAAGCCTTTGGACATCCTCCTCATAGTCACCGCTTCAAGTCACGACGATTTTCTTGACTGTTCTCTAGGCTCCTGGGATCAGTCGAGATGTGCACAAACTGACCCTAGAACATCCATGGTTAACAAAAAAAGAGCCAATTTACAATATTTTGGAATTGACCAAGAGACAAATTTATCCTGGCTTGCATCAACAGATACCAGATTATTTGACAAGAAAAATGGTAACCAAAAGTAAAACCCTTTTACTGGTATAGATACTAACCTAAAAATATCACCAATTTTAAATACTAGTACATTTCTGTCTCCATGGGGCACAACACTCCACCAGTTTGAGACCGAATAACTATCATTTTAACCCCTTCCCAAAACCTCCAAAATAGTTTTAACTTAGAAAAACAATCGTTAAAAATCTTGAAAAAATGAACGCTTGATAGTTTGTTTCGACAGTTGGGTTGAAGGGTAATGTACTCTTGGCTCATCCACCCTGGTTTTGTTTTGCCTTTAACTTGTGTCTCAAAACTATGTGTCAACTTCCTGAATCTGACCAACTGCAGCAGCAGCAGGGGTATAGTTTCGTGAGCAATCTATCAAGGAAACTAGAAAAGCAAAGTGGTGAAGAATGATAGAAAAGAAAGTAGCACCTGCAAGATCCACTGCTAAGTTTGCTTGAGCATCTGCATCTGAGTTCAAGTCCTACGGAAATGTAAAAGGAAATTAAGTTATCAAGGTTACAAGTCTTCAATATTACGTCAAGCACATAAAACTTGCAACAATTTTAGGATGTTCACAGAATATCACAATGTTTCCATTTTCAATCGGTTTTCTAAGTTACAAAATTAGCTATTTGTTCATTGTTTTCGTTGCAAGAAGATAATGATGTTATTAGGGTTCCGATGACTCATATCGTCGTAATGTTAATAATTTTTATATGGCCCAGTGACTGTCTTATTTTGTTATCATCAAATTATACTTTAGGCATTTGATAAATAGTTGGGCAAATTACTAAAATAATATGTCAAGTCAGACATAGATGACGTTTGACTACTTACCAAATATCCAAAAACTCTTTAATAAACAGAATAAAATGAAAATGATGATGATGATGGTATATCAGAAAACGAGCATAACCATGGAAATAAGCACATGAAATGTGTGATCTTACCCTCAAAACATGATCGATCTGGAAACAGAGGAATTTATCTTTTAGTTTCTTGGCTTCTTCATACCACTTGCTAATGTTCTGATTTTTCACCTTCCATAGACCTTGAACCTGTATCATAAAGTATTCTTGTAGTATAAGCATCTGGTATTCCATTAAAAAAATGCAACATTGCAAAAGAATAGTGATGATAAGCCCGAAGCTCTAAGCGAGCTGCATTTAGTTCTGGAAGAAAAAAAGAGGCAAACTTATTTAAATCTCTCCATCCCTGAATAAATATGGAACATTGGGCAAGGTGATTGTAACTTGAGAAGTTCGACTATTAGTCACATATCTACAAATATCCCCAACAAATATCATAAATACTCTTCTTAATAAGTGAGGACAAATAAAAGATAATCTTTGGGCCCAGACGAACATTTGTAAGGATGAGAATGAGCAAACAGGTGATTGTAACTTGAGAAGTTCCCATAAAAGAAATATTTGCACATATTCACAAAACATACCGACATGTCAATTATTGGAATTTTCATGGGTGGAGGGTGTATGTGTGAGACTGGGTCTGCAAGTCTGTCAACCAAAAAAAAAATCTAGTGTCTGTGCTTATGAGAACATGGAAGATACCTGCATGCAGACGAGTTTGGAATCACCTATAACGCGTATACTTGTAAACCCTTTACTAAGAGCACATCTCAACCCTAGAATAATCGCTCGATATTCAGCAACATTATTGGTTGCTATGCCTAAACCTTCACGCAATCTACAAATCTATAGAAAAGAGGTAAAGGTATTGAGTATCATAAAAGAGGAAAGAACCAAATGCAAGCCAAATATCATGGGGATGGTATACCACATTTCCATCATCAGTTCGTAGAACAGCTCCTGCCCCAGCTTGTCCAGGATTTCCTTTAGACGCGCCATCAAACTCGAGAATACAAGTGCGCTGTAAAATAAATGCAATTAGGTCATATACCAGTAAAAGACGGCAGAAGCAAAATGACTAGCATGAAAACTGTGACTTCTAACAAAGAAAATATATATATATATATATATATATATATATATATAAATAGGAAGCGAGCTTAGTGGAAACTCAGTACTTAACACTTGAAAATACATTATTAAAAGTCATGTTGATCTCAACACCAAAAAGTAAGCAAATCATTGTAAAAATTGTTATATGGAGGCCATTCCTGAAACCACATTAGGTTACTGAAGTACAGGTGGACAAAGGAGTCCAAATCTCCACTACCCAGTCCCAGTGCTTTGAGAGAGTAGATATAACTCCCAACAAAAAACTGGAACGAAACAACAACCAGCAGGTTCAATTTTAAGTTTTGAACTAGCATATTTAATTTAAAAGAAGCTGTTCTTTTATATATCAGGTATCACCATCACTACTGACATTGGCAGACAGAGCTTGAGTAGCAAGGTGTTCCAACTTAGCATGCTTCCTTGCAGGATCACTTGACATAGATGTCAATCCAAAGGCTTCCTGAAAGTAATTTAGAGAACAACATCCATGACAAAACACAGAGCCCAAAGTAATACACTTAATATTACAGCAACTGTGGTAAGTTATGCAAGAACCAATAATTAAAAGCGAAGAATTTTGCTTCGTGCGGGGTTATCATTCAGAAATACCTATATTTACAAAAACCAACTTCATGGTATAAGAAAGCTTATTATTTGTAGTGTTGGGGAGGAAAAAGTGCAGTACAGTTCTTAACCAGATATACTTGACTTACCCCGGTTTGCGAACCTAAAACTTCCTGAAATCTTCTTTTAGACATGTGATCACTCGACGGTTCGCCTAAGGAAAAATGTGGTTGCTGCAGAGAAAAGAAGATTTGTTTAAGTTGCCAGTGCACATCAAGTGAGCTTACCACTTCATATATGAGAATCTGATAGAAACCATTTCAACTCCAACAGCCCATAAAAGAGCTCTAACTTTTGTATGTGATGTTTAAGACCAGAATCATTAATTTGGTACATCTATCTGTCTTAACCGACAAAGTATTAAGCGACCATTACACTTCAGTTTTTTTTTAGTTTTATATTTTCCATTTTTCCCAAATTATAAATGTCAAATTCAAAATCGGACTGACACCCGTGCATCAACATCACCTAAGGCATACCTAATATATACCCAAAGAGACATTTATGGTGTTGATGGCAGCTCCAGTTCATGTCAAAGCAAATTCAGCTAAAACATGCTCCATGAAGGCTACATGCTTGACAGGAATACACCTCTTTTAAACCTATAGGAGAGTTATCTAATATTAGAAAGGACATGTAAGGTACCTATCTGCAATTCTCTTTCCCAAACTATTTCTAGATGGAGTAAGACTTTCAATTTCATCACAGATTTGAAGGTGACCATAAACCAGATCATATTTGGTTATAAGGGTATGACAATTGACACTTCGATTCCCACCCTGACAAAGAAAGTTCTTCCACGTGAATCATGAATTAGATTATATTTTCCGTTTGTGATCTTGTAACTTCCTCCACTTTCTGTTTTTCAAATCGAACTTGAAATTATGAAACAGGGGCAAACCAAAGCTGGACACAGTGTGCTCATATGAGCACACAAATTTTATTTTTGGGATGTTTTCAAATATATGGTCACATTTTAGAAGTACAGACTTATGTATTATAGTTTTATACTCCAGGCTCCATTTGTAGCAAATGAAGTTAGTGTAACTATTTGTGCACTATCCACAATATATTCAATTTATAGTTTTATACTCCATGGCTCAACTCATAGCAGCCCTAATCTAATTGGGGTACCATCTGCCTCCATCCAACTACACGAGCTCTGTCTCTGCCTATCCAGCCATCATCCCTCTCCTTCAGTCTCTCTATCGCCACAATGGTATAAGGAATAAGGTTCTTGGTTGAGGTACAAAAAAATGTATGATTATGTTCATTTTTATTTATTTTCTTTTAAGTTTGATATAGGTAGAGATGACCATGATTCATTTGTTGGGAACATGGGATGTGTTTAGTAGTTTGAGTACAAAAGAAGGTTAAGAATATATGTTGGAGTTAAGTGTTCATAATGGGTGTTATAAAACTATCAAGATTTGCGAAACATGAAACAACATCCTGATGTTGCATTATTTAAGCAATTCGAAGTTGAGTGTTGTACAACCGAAAATAATCCTTTTTTTTTGGTAGAGAAATCAAAAGAATCCTTGTTTGGGTAGAGAAATTGAAAGGATCTTTGGATGTGGTTAGCCAACTTTTAAGTGCAAGTCTGCAAGAAACCTCTTCCTAATTATCAAGAACTAGAAAGTTCAGGTTGGAAAAATTCAATTTCCTGTATTCATAAAACTTATGGCTGAAGCAAATGAAGATACTAGAAAAGGAATTTCCTAAAATGACTTGACCAAAAACTCAAAAGCAATTGTTTCCAAATGATGTGGTATTTTGATGCTGACAACGAAAAGCATTAGTTGATATTCTAAATGAAGTGCATCATGATACACTTGTAAGTGAGCTTAACTTGTTATGTCTTTGATGGATGGCATAAGAAATGAGCCTAAGAATAAAGAGTCAAAAATAGAAGTTTATCACTTGTGGAAGTTTCAACAAGCCGTGAAAAAGAAAAATAAATATCATGCTCTCAAATATTGGCATGGGTAGAAGGCTAAGTGAAATAGATACATTCCAAAAAAAGCAACATAAGTTAGTGACACAGAATTGAGTGTTATGCAGTTCACTTAGGACAAGGCTTATATCTAGACATAAACTTTGAAACATTGGGGAGACGTGTTGAATTTGTATCATGATACACTTGTAAGTGTGCTTAACTCGTTCTCTTGATGAATGGCATAAGAAATGAGCCTAAGAATAGTCATGGTGAAACCTATTGTATATGCAATTAAAGATTTTGGGTTGTCTTTTATATTAGACTATATTCAGATGGTAAAGATGTGACTTATTCTTTGTCTCGATCAATATAAAAGAGTGCTTTTACCTTCCAAATGCAATGAAATTAGTTAATGTTGCCTAGGATCAACTCGACATGCAAGAGATCTTAGGAACGATGATGACTGAAGCAACTATTGAGTTTGAAAAGCATGAGATTGAGGTTCCAAACACAGGAGGTGCGTCTTGTGAGAAAGGAAGAACAAGGCATGAAGGGTAAATAACTCACTTTCTTCACTATTTGAAGATTGAATTATTCAATGTGATGATAGTTTATCAATCCAATAGTTGAATGGTCGTTTTAAACAAGCTTTGATGGGAAGTTAGAGTTGCTTTGATCCATTTAATCATTTAGCTGCCTTCAACAAGCAAAAGTGGCGGCACTTCACCAATTCTATCATTGGGAGCATGACAACAGGGAGACTTCTGGTTCCGTGATTGAAGTCCTAAGGCTTTTATTTTTAATGTAATCCATGATCAGGATTTTGCTAATAGAGTTTAGGAACTAGTACAAAAGATGTTGATAAGGGTAAGAATGCTAATTTTCCAATGGTTGGTTTGTTGGTAAAGTCAGCAAAGATTTTACTTGTTGCAACTGCTACAGTTGAACATTACCCGGCACTACCCATGTCACAGATATGTATCATAGTTGCATATGAGATGATTTGCTTATTGATTTTATGATTACTTTCATTCACTATGATAGATTTGATTCCTTTGATAATGAGGCTACAGTCTACCATAAACAACTTCAGGCAATGTAAGAGCAAAGAGGCAAACTGTAAATTCTCATGTTCTGATTTTGCAACACATTTTACCATGGTAAATATTGTACACCAACTCTATTAAATTGTGTGCTTTATGGTGACATTAATTTATTCATATTTAGTTGGTACATCATATACTTTTTGGATTTCCAAGCACATAATTCTATGCAACCACCACTAATATGAAATGTGATCGTTCAATGTTCATTTATATACCTATTCTCACAATAATGACATTCAAATGAGAATATTCGGTGAGAACAAGAAGTTGCAAATCAACGTGCATATTGATAGGAATTAATGATAGGATTTTATCTTCCCAATAATCACTTTAAATCAATATATATTTATCATCCACCAAAAATCACTATGACAAAGCTAAGAAATATCAGATCAGCCAGGCAACCAAAACACATCCTTCGAAATGTTCAAAGGAAACTAGAGAGCTCTTGAGTCAACAAAGTTTGAAATACGTTGCCAAAACAGAGAACTCGTTACTTGTGACATTCACATTTGAGTCAATAGTTTATCTTACTTGGTAAGGACATGCCACGAGATTACCAAATAGCTCTTCTGTTAGATCTGCAGCTCTAATGGAATAAAGTGCATTCTTAAGCCCGCAAGAGATCATATATTCTTCAGCTTCCTTGGGCATGGTGTAGCCTTTATACACACTGACAGGAGGATCACATACCTATCAGGACCATACAGAGGCTTATGAGTTGTTAAGCTTTTCAAAAGTTCTACATGTACCTCTTAAGAACATGTATCATTAAATTGTTCTATCATGTATATGAGATAGGCTACTAAGATAGATGCAGTAAATGTTTAAGCAACAATGTAACTATACCACAAAGCACATATTAATACCCTTCTGTCAAAAGATTGTGGCGAACGAGAAACCTCTAATAGGACTCTATCTACATACCTTAACCATGTAGAATGCCAATCAAACATTGGCCACAACTATTATGTGAAGCTTATATCATATGCATTACATTAGAAACCAAATAAAGAACCATCTCTTACCACTTCACCATAAATTTTCAAGACACCTACAAACTCCATTTACCTTAACTTCTAAAAGAAGTGTATTATATGTAACTACTGTGTGTGCAACAGTTTATAACTTAATGCCTACACATAAACAGATATGGTCAAAGCACAATAACTTAAAGCATGCAGAATCATAAATTATAAATCTAGGCATATGATATGGTGAAAGAATATACCGAGGATCCAACTTGAGCCTGGCAATCACTCAAGTTCTTGTACACACCAACAAGATCCCCTTTGCGGACAACAAAGAAAGCATTTTTCTCCTCCCCCAGCATTTTCTCCAATTTAGAATCTGACTTCCTTGTCTTAGATTTACCAACACTGCTGGCCTTACGAGTAGAGTAACAACTAGCACGAAACCTTGTCAAAAGAAACCCATTCTCTGCAGTTATGATTGCAACATGATGATCAACTCTTTGTCTCCAGGATACATTGATGAATCCACGAGATAAACACCTTGCAACAAGACCGCTAGTCGTCCTTGCAAATAAAGCCGTGGAACACGCATTAAATAAGGAGTTCATTACAAAGTAGTTTCTCCCAAAGTCCTCTCCAGACTTTCTGTAACAATAAATTCTTCTTATCACCAACTATATATGTTACCTCTTTTTATGATTGCTTAGCTAGAAAAATCGGGAGAAAATTATTACACAGTTAATAGTTTTTTGCTCAATAAACGAAATACCCGAACTCATCACTATCAATTTGAGATTTATTCTTATTCTTATCCTACCATCTACATTTCCCCCAAGTGTTTCAACATGATTAATTAGGTTTGTAAAAACCAAAAATACTTAACTTTAATGATTTCCGATAAGAATGTGAAAATTTTACAGGTTCAGTTAAAGTAACAGTTGAAGCATAATGAAATCAAAGCACAAAATCAACTTCGAATTAGCAGAAATGTTAAATAGAAAGTTATACCAGGTTCTTCGTCTTTGTTCGCCAATGCTCCGACGGCTGAGTGTGGAGGAGGATGGCCCTCTCTGGGCTCTGGCCACGAACGAAGAGGGGAAGGGAGGGTTTCGCTTCGGTTGGGGGGTTTGGCGGGTTAAACCGGAACCCTTTTGCCCTTCCTTATTTTTAAGTGAATTTCAGGGTTTTCTAATTTGTGCATTTTACGGTTCGGGGAAGACGAGCTCTCTCACACACTTCCGAGTCCGACTCGTTAAAACGAATCAACTCAGTTTAATTAGAATTCAGAAGCTATAGCCTATAACCTCACTTGCTTTTTCTGTTACATTATTGCTTCCTCAATAAAATAAGAATCATTAATCCATTTTTTTTATTACAAAAACCTCACTTTTTTATTTTGTAATTTATAAAATATAATTTTATTTATAGATTAATATATAAATATAAATAATATATAAATAATAAATTTAATATATATTATAAAATTTAAAAAAATTAGATATGATTTATTAATTTTCATTTTTCTATATTGAATTTAATTTATTAATTTATATATTTTGTTAACATATATGAAAAATAATTAAAACACAAACATAATTTTATATTACAATTAAAAAAATGCAAATAACACAAATATTATTTTTTATAAAAAGTAACATCAGATAATAAATAGTCATATAGATCACTCGTAATCTCAATTCAACCAAATACGTTCAACCAAATTGGAGTGGAGTTGATGATGAATTTTATTTGAGCTCATATTAAGATTTCGTTAAATATATTCTTGAAATTTATGGATAAAACCTTATATTTATGTTGAATTATCTACCTATTCAATAAAATAATATAATGAGATAATTAAAAATTAAACTTATTAATACAAAAATTTGTATACAAATTTACAAGAAATGGAAAATAAAACAAAATCAAAAGATTATTTTATAATAATTAATTTATATTCTATTTGTATTAATTTTAAGTTATATGTTTTATAGATACATAAAAAGAAAACAAATTGTTAAAAATAATAAATAAAATAATAATAAAAAAGAAATGTATACAAGAAACTCGAGTTCTTTTTCAAGCATATGGGTTCTCATAAGAACCTGTAACTGGATAAAAACATTTGTCTACAATGGATATTCTTGTAAAACCCCCAAAAGCATTCTCGACAGCAACCTTCATTGTAGATGCTCTAACGTTGTGTTCTCACGATTTTCGTCTCTATGATTTGTAATTTATTATTATTTTTGTCCCTGAAAGTTAAATATGTTAAAAATCTTCCATTAACTTAAAAGGTAGTTTAGTTTTTTTTTTTCTTTTTTGGTTTATTAAATATATATATATTTTTTTTTTGGGTATTTTAGTCTTTTTGATTTAATAAAATTATATATTTTTTGGTAAATAAAAAAATATTATTTAATACAATTAGGTTGTCGTCCTTTAACATGTTAACAGAGCCTCCGATTTTGGGACTCAAATTTACATGTATTCAAGATCTTTTTGTCGACTTCTACAAAATTATAGTCGAAATTGTTTATGTTCAATTATTAATTGTTTGATTTTAGGTTCAAATTATTAATGGTTTAGGTTTAGGTTTAGTTTCGTATTGTTAATCGTTTAGGTTTAGCCCATTTTTGTTCTTAACATATATTCTCTATGATCACATTTATCCAATGTAATCAAAAGTTTTGGATGTAACAGGACCTCTAAAAAGACCGAAACGTCACTGATCTCACATTCTTTGTCAACTATTGTCCTCGATAAAGTCAACAAAGTTTTGCTAACTACTGTTGACCATCGATCTGTGACTTATCATCGATCCTTTTCAACATTGTGCTAAATCATAACAAGCTCATGCCCTTATGATCGTCTCATCTCCGTTAAGGGATTCTACCTATGACTATTATGCAGCATTGCCGTGATTGATTTGGTAAGGACCACGAGACACATAGGTTTTTTGTAAGAGTCTCCTCATGCCACTTGGAATTTCTTGACTGCTATCTTCAAGGCTCCATGGAATTATTCGAAGTGCACGCAAAATGACCCGGACACCTAAAGTTACCGGTCCACTGACAGAGACAAAATGGTTCACAAGAGATGGTCAAATTGGTAGCTACAAGCTAGTTCTTTGTAACACACATCTTTTGACAATTCTCTATCCCATTTCTCAAGAAGAAAATTAGAGTGAAGTAGTATATGAGCAGGCAGAGTTAGAACTTGATAAACCAAACCAACTCAGCTCATTATATCCCATCGGGGTGGGATATAGGGGGGAAGGGTATTACTATGACCTGACCTCTACCTCAAATAGTAAACCTGATCTATTAGGCAAAAAACTTGTTCAGTGACCTACATTACAAAAATATGGAACTTCTACAATAGGCTATCTCATTAACTTTGGCACAGGATTTGTGCATTTGTTGCCACTTGGTACCTCTTGGACATCAATCTGACTACTTGTGTAACAGTAGATATGATCAAGCTGCCATGAAAGACCACGGTTGCTGTTGTGTTAATTGCCATTCCATTCTTTCCAGTCGTTATCAACGTGATCTTGTGCCCATTTAACTGCAGCACGAGCCGCTTGCGGCCCTCCAGGCAATTCACCCTGGTTAATGGTATCAGCCATCTCCCAAAAAGGATCAACCATGAGAGTTCCCGGGCCACCGTATTCCTCATGCATGAATTTTGCAAAGATCTATTCATAACATTGGCATAAAAGGGTACTTAAATACAAGAGTTTTTTATGTATAAATGGAAAACAATTGGATGAATTTAGGTAAGGATATGATAAGGCTATTGGTAAGTGGTAAAGAATCAATTAAATTTTTGTAATTGTGTCCAAGATCTACCAAAAAGCACCAAATTCTCATAGTGATTAACATTTGTGAACAATTGCTCTTGATTTTAACTTATAAAAAAGATTCTAATCAAGAATCCCCAAAAAATCACTTAGAAAATCTTCAAGGTTTTCTTCCAAATGATAATCATTATTTTGTGTGTGTATGTATATATATGTGTGTGTATATATGTATATATCGAAAGCCACCACGCATTTAAACCAAATTCTCAAAATTGAAATGTGTTTGTATGTGTATGGGCAGCAGGGGATTCCAGAATACCTCAGTACAGACTTCAACCACTTCATCAACAGAATCTTCAAATACGTCCTTCTTTGATAGTTTCTCGATGAGATGACTCTTAAATTTCTCGGTCTCCTAAACCATCCAACAAAGAGACATTTTAACAAACACATAGAAGGCGTTCAGTCAAATTCCATCAATCAGGTAGAAAATAAAACAAAAAGCATAAAACCAGAAGTGATTATGCTTACAGCTTCAGCAAATTCGGGAATTGGGTCTGGAAATTTGTATTCAGCAGCTTTAACAACTAGGGTTTTAGGGTTTCTTGAAGTGGGGCGTAAGGGGTTTACGGAAACCGTAGAGGTGGTTTTACGGAAACTGAATCGATTACAGCAATTGTTATTTAGGTAAAAGGACATGGGAATTGAAACCCATTTTGAAGAAGATGAAAGTGGGATTGTTGAAGAGATTATGAGAGAAGAGGCCGACGCCATCTCTGTCTCCGTATGTGTTATCCAAATCCAGAACCTTTTCTTTTATCTCTTCTCCATAATCTTTTAAGTTAAAATACACACACACACACAGAAATTCGAGTTTCTATGCTAAATCTTTCATTATCTAAAAAAAAAATGCTTATATGTTAGTTCAAATTCTGTTAAACAAGTGTTTGAGATTGTTTATTTGAAACAATTTATATTTTTCTAAAAAAGTATTTATCAACTTATTATAAGTTAGAATAGTTTAACTTCTTATTACCGGTTTGGTACCGGTATAAGTTGTTTATCCAAACACTCAAAAGTGTTTATTACCGATGTCATATCAGAATAAGTCAATAAGTTGTTTTTATAAGTAATCTTAAACACCTCTAAGCATTTTTGGACGAATATAACACTGAAACTAGGGGTGGCAAAAAATAACCCAACCCATTAACCCAACCCGAACCCAACCCAAAATTAGCAGGTTGGGTTGAGATTTTCAACTCATTTTAATAAATAGATCAACCTGTCTAACCTATTTAAATAAATGGGTTGGGTTGGGTTGAATTTTTTGACATGTTTTCAACTTATTTTCAACTCACTTAAAATATTATATAAATTATTTTATTCTTAATATTATATCTATTTTATTTTTTACTTTGTCTATTCTTAAATAAATTGGCCCAAGTTTCATGATGACTCTTCGATTTCAATCATTCAATAATTAATTCTTCATACGCTTCATTACTAATCAGTATCATGAGTCTTGACGCTTTGCCCTCAATTCTTCAATCTTCATACGCTTCGATTATCAATCTTTTCCCCTACTTTTGAGTTCTACCTTCCCCAATCAAAGATTTGGGTTGGTTTCAGACTTTCAATTTCCGATTTGAGGTTGAGGGCTTGAGACGTTGTTGAGCGATAGCAGAGTAGTTCTTTATGATCATGTTTGTTTAGCATTTTGTTGTTAAACTTCGTATAGATCATATGAATTTCATGTTTCTCTTTGATTATTTGTTACTTTATGACTCTATCGAACTTTAGTGATTTCTTTCAAGTTTGAATTTGTTATTTGTGTGGTGTGGCTATCTGTTTCTATCACTGTATCTATACCTCAGAAAGAATTGTTATCATTCGTCCTCATTGAGATAATTATACAAGCTACATATAAGTTGTTGTTTTGTACGCATGAATTACACTTGTTGATGGACTAATGGTCTTAGGATTTTAGGTACGAGAGTAAAATTGGGATTGATGAAAGTGGAAGTCGAGTTATTTAGAATTTAAAAAAATTCAACTTATTTTGAACAATATATTTGTTGTGGTTGTGTTTTATTCAAACTTTGAACAATTTGGTTGTATTTGTGGTTGTGGTTGTATTTTATTCAAACTTTGAACGATTTGGTTGTATTTATGGTTGTGTTATGTTTTATTCAAAAAAGTTAAATACGCTAGTTCTTTTTTTAATTTAAAATTTTAAAATTAAATAGATCAACTCAGGTTCAATCCATTTATTTAACATGTTGGGTTAAGAAAATCGTAAACAGGCCAACCCGTTGTCAACCCATTAACCCAACAGGTTGGGTTAGGTTGGGTTGAAAAATCTCAACTCATTTAATTAAATGAGTTGGGTTTGGTTGAGATTTTCAACCTGTTTAATAAATGGGTTGAACCCGAACCCAACCCAACCTGACCCATTGCCACCCCTAATTGAAACATGTTTTAACATTTTATTAATAAGCAAAAACTTGAAATTTTCTTTTATTAATTTTTAAGGTGTTTTTGTTTTTAAGATGACTTATTTAAATAAGACGAACATATAAAACTGCTTTTTTATTTTATGATAAGAGCTTCAAACGTGTTTTTATTGAGCAATAGATATATTCGTGTTTTATTAGCCCTTCTTTTATTTCCTTTAAAACAAAAACAAAAAACAAAAGATTTGGTACCCTAAAAAACAAGACGTAAACTTTCTCTCTCTTCTTAGTCATGGAAATGAGACGGTGACCCTAATCCACATCTCCGTCTCTAATCCCCAGTCTTTATACCCGACTTCTTGTCTCACTGTTGGGGAATATGATTACATCTCCATCTTTGTCTTCAAACGGGGAAGTGGGGAATTTTTTACTCATTTATGTGAGACATTTTTAAATCAGATATGTTAAACACCACATTCAATCTAAAATGGTCCATAAAAAATCGTTTGTGGAGTATCAAATATTCATATGTGAACAAAATCACATCATATGTAATTGTTTGATCAAATGTTTTTGGCTCTCAATGTTTTTATCTAAAAGAATTAAGAAACGATCAAAAAATGTATATAAGAATAAAAGTCAAAATACTTTTTCTAAATATTAATTCTTTATAAACAATCTATTTAATAATCTATACTATCTTATAAAATATTTGTCTAAAATTCTTAAAAACTCTTAAACTCGTTCATCCCTAAACGATTTCATCCCTAT